ACAAAATAATATTGATCAAACTTTCCAAAACATTTTCAGGAAGCTAGTTCCTACATAGACAGTATAAACATAATTCAATCAAGGGTTTAAAGTCTGATGTAACAGAAACTTTCCACTAGAGTAAAACAGAATTTTAGTAGTCCATGGTCAAAGCATTCCACATTTTTAGTATACAGTATAGTTTGGCAATATAATAACATCTTGTCGAAATCTTATGACTGTGAAACCAAAACAATGTGTCTGTACAAGACTATAAGGTATAAATCAGTTCTATAAACATTAACAAAACTAGCTGATTTATTTCTTAGAATAGTTCCAGACTTTTATTCTACATATGATGAGGATTCCCATTTCTATCTACGTAATGTTTTTCAACCGTATGTTGAAAAATTAACTGTAGAAAAATTAAATAAATAAACTTTATTGTTATTGTATGTGTATACATAGTATACACATACAACGAAATTTACTTAATACCCAAAGACCAGGTCCCACACACATAATCCCCAAACATACTCCCACCCACCACAATTCCCCACCCCTAAACCACCCAAACATCCACACAACAAACCAAGTAATACTGTCCAACAGCTCACTGATGGTGGCCCTTTAGTTCATTGCTGAGTTTTTAATTTTTAATTAATTTTTAATTCCCAACATTAAATTTTGGGAATCTCCAAAGTTTCCCTATATTATTAATTATTTAGGACCTTCAGATACTTTTAACGCATTGGGCTCAAACTATAAATCAGAATGTATTTTAAGTGATTATACCCTTTTTAAGCATAACAAATTTCCAAAAGATTAACAATAAACTGACCCAAAATGCAATATCATTTTTATGCCCAAGAGCTTCAGAAGTAGCTTATAAACCATTATCTCCATATCAGTTTATCATAAAATTTAGGAACAAATTCAAATTATCCTCCTTTCATGATTCATAAATTGTTGATGCAACAATAATTAATAATAAAATGAAGAACTAAATATCAGTGGGATAATATGATAACTGTTTTGTTATGCCTGTGTTATTTTGAAATCAATCACTTAAATTCCTCAAAGAAATAAAAATCAAAATATAATAACTAAGCAAGAAATTATAAAAAGAATTATTACATGGAAGTCATAAGTGAGAGAAAAATCTAGCAGTATGAACAACCAATGGAAATTTTCTAAGTATTTCATTGATCAACTTAAAATATATGCCTTGTTTTGTATTTTAGATATTGTTATTATAACTTTTTTTTATTCTATGTCTTTGCTGCTTTGTTAGCAGTTTAGACTTGTAAAAGAAAGATTGTATGTCTTTTATAAATAACATAAAAAATCTGTACATTATATTTTAACCAGTAGTTCATACAATACCTTTAACAATTATTTATACTTAAATGAGGCTGTTTTTGAGAAAATGATACAAGTTTTGCAAAGTTTCAACTAGTGACGAATAGTGAATAAGCCGAAAAAATGCTTTTAAAAGTTTTTTAAAAAGCCTCTGATGATCACGCGGCTCAGCTTGGATCATCAGAGGCCTTTAAAAGCATTTTTTCTACAACCACTTTGGCCGAAGAGGTTATAGAAAAAATGTTATTAAAAAATAATTCGTTTGGTTTTCTTGCCATCTTAAAAGTTATACATATGTGAAAGAATATTTAGAGACATTTTAAGCCATGCCCATTACCCTACTCTATAGAAAATGTTTTAAAGGAATGTTTCTTTAAAGGAATAAAAGAATTACCAAGAAATATGACTCTTTTTTTTAATGACACTTTATGACTTATGACCATAATTAACGACCATAATTGAGCCCAACATTTCCACTGCTAAGCAAGACAATTGTAAAGTGAATTAGGCTCCATTTTATCATTTTTTTGCCACCGTTGTTAAATGAATCATGCAGTTGTTAAGCAAACTTCTGACTTCTCCCATTGACATTGCTTGTTGAAGCCAAATATGTGCAAAGCAGGGTGAAATGCTCCCTGTTCGGACCGGATCGCCTGATACGGTAGCGATGGAGGCGGATGGTTCAGAGAACCGGTAGCAAAAATCCCTGCCCCCCACCCCCAATTGCCCAGCTGAGCAGTGCAATCATCAGAGGCTTTTTTTTAATTTTTAAAAGCATTTTTTCTACAACCTCTTTGGCCGAAAAAATGCTTTTAAAAGTTTTTTTAAAAAGCCTCTGATGATCATGTGGCTCAGCTTGGATCATCAGAGGCCTTTAAAAGCATTTTTTCTACAACCACTTTGGCCGAAGAGGTTATAGAAAAAATGTTTTTAAAAGGAAAAAAAGCCTCTGCCGATCAGGCAAGTCAGCTGGGATCATCAGAGACTTAAAAAAAAAAAAAGAAAGCCTCTGCCAATCAGGCAAGTCACCTGGGATCATCAGAGGCTTTAAAAGCATTTTTTTTACAACCTTTTCAGCCGAAGAGGTTGTAGAAAAATGGTTTTAAAAGTAAAAAAAAAAAAAAAAAAAAAAGTTGGCTACGCCCACTCAGTCATATTACCACCACCACCACCAAGCCACACCCACAGAACCAGTAGTAACACATTTTACATTTCACCACTGGTTATAATATATATCCGAAATGCAAAACAGGCCTCAAGGATTGTAGAGAAGACTGTACAAATATCTCAATGACAAATTAATACATTTAAAAGTACAAATCTATGGCATGTAGAAGGGTATGCTTCTAAGCATGGCCCCCTTCCAATATTTCCAGACAGTAATTGAAATGCAAGATCATTTCTAAAAAAGAGATGCAAGTTAATTATGAGTTTAGCCATAACCTTCAGTATTAGATGATAATCTATTAATATCATATTATTGGACACTATACATTGGAATCCACGCAAAGCTTGACAGCTTCTAAAGTTCCCTAGGCTGGGTATTCTCCAGATGGAATGGCACAACTCACCGCAGCCAACTTGCCACGGCCAACTGGCCATGGGATAACTCTGCAGGACAATTTAACAATTCAATTTAATTATTTAAAATAAATAACAGATTCACATTTCATTCTGTCCCTCTTTTTTCATCCTTTCTTTAATGATTCTATTCCACCATTTCTTGGCTATTAGTGCAACTCTTGTTCTTGCCGTGAGTTGCACCATGGCTAGTTGGCCATGACAAGTTGGCCGCAGTGAATTGTCATAGACCCTTCTCCAGATGTGTAGATTCAGGCTGGAGAATGTTGAGATTGGAGGTTCCCATCTCTGGAGAGAAGGATTTCTCCAGGTAGAGAAGCATTTCTAAATGACAGTCCTCACAAAAAAGGAAATAGAGAATTCTAAAACCTACCGTGCTTCAAGAGGAAGAAAATTATTGAGGGTGGAGAAACATTTGCAAATTTAGATGCCCGTAAAGAACAGTTACAAGCCTGGACCCTGTCGAAAACAAATGGTATGGCTCATACGAGAAAGAAATAACAGACCCAATGTTTCATTTGGCAGAAGGAGATATCTCATAAAAGATCATGTTTAATAAGAGGACACCATTTGACTCAACACAGAAATCGGAAACCGTGCAGTAGCTCTTTCATATGCCAAGCAATGTTTCGTAGCAGACTGACGCTAGTTCCAAAGCATTCATTTACAAGGTAGCTTTGTAGAGTTTCAACAACCACTCATCAATGCAACGTAAACAAAAGCTATTTCTTTAACTGGCTTGCTTTGAATGCCGGCTATTTCTTTCCCTTCCGTTTCTTATCTTCATTTACTCCTTTTACTCTGGGTGTTTTCGTGTGACATGCTCCTCACTTTTAAACAATCCATTCAGCCCAATTTCCTGGATTTGCAGGACACAACGGTCCATATGCCAAGGCTGGGTTTGCAGAATTTGGTTAAAATAATGGTGTCATAATATGTTTCCTCGACACAGTTTCTTAGTAGCAATTAGGGCAGGGGAAATGGAAGTTTATCAGGCCTGCTGGGCAACTTTTATTTTATTTTTTGTTAAAGGCAAATGAGAAGAGCTTGTATGTATGGTAGCAAATCCTACATCCAAGGGCTTCGTGGCAAAGAGGGAGAGATGCCTCTACAGCATAAACAAATGACATTGTCACTGACACTAAATTGATGTGAGAAGACAACATCTCTTGCAGATTATTTTCTCTTTGCATCATGGCTCCAAAAGCAGAACAATCTTTTACTGTGTTTTATCATCCCCAATCAGTTATTTAAGGCTTTAATGTTATAAACTCTTAATCTCTATTCTCGCTTGATATGCTGTCTCTACACAACTTGAGTTTACACAGTTTTGATTTGCTCCAGGATGCTTAAAGGACTTTGTATCTTCTCTGAAACATCTTCCAGACATTTGGAAGAATAAGCAGCCTACAGACTTTTGGTGATGGTAATTGGTGGTTGAGACTTGATCTGTCTTCTTTTCCTTCTTGATGATAGATAAATGACACTTCTTTAAGTAGGTATGTCTTGATTGCTGGTGATTCCCCCACTCCCCCTTCATCTGTCTGTTTCCAGAGATCAGTGCTGAAATTAAACAGTCCACAGGTTTTATGTTGCTTAGAGCCATGGCATGGAGAATTGTTATCTGCCTCTTAATACAATTTAAACATTCAGTCAAGTATTTCTTCACTGGATCTTGACCAGAGCTGCGTCCCAAAGACTGATTTAATACAAATCTAGATTTGAGATGGAGAGTAGGGACTGCTTTCATAAGAAATGAAGCCATCATACCCATGCTCCCCAAAGTTGTCTCCCACCAGAGCAGGCTCTTTGCCCAGGTGGCCTAACCTTAGGTAACTTCCCTCACACCTTAGGACAAAATCTTAAAAGAAATACTTTGAGGAGGAAATAATAAATTCGGGGCATTGCACTGGTGATTTTCACAATATGCCCAGCGTTAACCCGAGGTACCCTATTCTTGGCTCCTGTCCCAAAGTTTATTTAGGCCGCATCAACCTCCTGCTCTTGCCTCTTCCATAAGAATCAGGCGAAGGAGCCACACAAGGTGCTCAGGGAGGGACGTAAGGAGGGGAGGGACGCGTAGCCTTTGAAACCTTGCCCGGCGCGCGAGTCGCTTTCTCACTTCAAAGTCGGTGCAGCGCTGGAGAGAAAAGCGACGCGCAGGCATCTCGGACTCTCGCCCTCCACCGGGCGTGCTAGGCGGCGATGCTTCCTCGCCAGATTCCCGAGTTCGGGATGACGATGGCGGGCGGCCGCCAACGCCGCCGCCGCCGCAACAGCAGCACCAGCAGTCCAGCACGTAAGTGGCCAGACGCGCGGAGGGCTCCTGACGCTTCTTGCGATCTGCTGGGCTGTAAACTCCCGGGGGTAGTGGAGACGGGGGACACTTCTCTTTCTCCCACCACCGCCCGGTTTGCAAACTAGCCTCACTGTTGCGCAACTGCCAACGATTCGAGCCTGGCCTCTTCCTAAGTTTTTGGCCGCGCTTCTGGAGCGAAATGGGTTGCCTGCTTCTTTTCTGTTTCTTCCTTCTCTCTTTCTGAGATCCAGGAGAGGGTGCGGTTACTAATCGCACGTGCGTCCAGATTTGGACTTCTCGTTAACTGTGGGGTGGGGGGGTGTTGTCTTCTTCTTCCCTCCCGCCTCCCCGTTCCTAAATTTACAAATTTGGGCGCCAGATTTCCCGGCTCAACCGCCTAGCTAAGACAGTTGACCTTCTGAAGGGAAGTTGTTTTCGGGACCGGGGGGGGGGGGAGAGAGAAGATGTAACTTTTGTGCCAGTCCTTCTTTTCTGGAGCCGTCTTGCTTGTAGGTGGAATCGCAGTTGCTGGGTTTACGACACTGGTTTTCCTAGTACCACGCAGGTTTGGAAAGAGCAGCCTGATTTGGAGAGGGTGTTTCCTCCACTCGAAGCAGCGCCTTTTCCAGCTGTCTGGCGTTGGATGAGCCAAGGGGTATGTCTGTTGGATGGGACTGAAACTTTCTGGAGTATTCATAACTAGTATTCATAACATTACAGGCTTGGCTTGGCCATTAACTCATCAACCAGTTTGGGTCAAGGGGATGGGGGCAGTAAAATTAATCCCTGGTGTTACGTTAGGTAGTTTAGGCAGGATCATACCAGGTTGTGTTGATAAGCCAAGTTAAGCATGAGTGCCTGTGTAGTATGAACATAGCTGTGGAGTGCCCGGTCATGTGCGTCTGAACAGAAGACATGAGTGTAAATCTTGGGGATTTCTTTATCTTTTCCATGATTCACCACTGAAGTGGGCGCTGCTGCATAATTGTTCTGCTTGGTTTTATCCTCAAAACAGCCCTGCTAGGTAGGGAGAGCTAATGCTGGAAAATTTTCAAACATTAAAAGGGGGAGCTATAGTTTTCTTCTCGTAAAGAGAAGTTAATTTTGACTGCTTGATATTTTGTTTCTCGGGTTGTATTTGTAACTCCATTATTTGGTAAATCTGTTTTCGGTGATTTTTTTTTATTTTTTTTTTTAATAAACTTGGAACATTTGCAGGATGTTGAACTATGCTTTTATTCCTGGAAACTTTCACCAGACGTTCCTTTAACAAATAATAGTAACAAATAATAACAGTAGTTGGTAGAAATTTGAAGTTGATACTACCCATTCTTAACCTATCACAATGGGTAATATCAGCTTCAAGTCTCTAGCAAATTCCTATAGATTGCCAGGGAATTCCTAGGAATCTAGGCCAGGTTTAGGGACATGGACAATCTGCGACGCCAATTTTAAGAGCGTTACTGGTACGTATATATAACACCAAGGTAATGTGGCTTCATAGAAACGGAGCCTCTTCCCCTAATAGAAGAAATCACGCACTCATCAGAGATGTGAAGCCTAAAATTGTTGCAAGAAAAAGATAAGTGTTCAGAATCTAGAAAGCTCTAGGTTCAAGGCTAGGCTGAAAAATGGGGGGGGGGGAATCTATGCAAAAGGTGGTAGCATAACATACCATCTGTGTATGTTGCCAGGAAGACAGTGCTGATGTGCAATACAATCATTTTAATTCGAATATGAAAGTACTGAGGGTTCTTTTCACCTGGGACCTCTTGATCTAGGCTTGTCATTGGTTCACTATTAGAAAGTTGATGTTCAGTATTAGCTTATGCCCATTTTAAGAAGGACAGTAAGAACCACTATCCACTAAAGGCCTTTTTTCTTTCTAATTCTGCCAAAACGTTTGCTGGCAGATGGGCTAATAGAAGACATTTAATCTCACAGCTCTTTCTATTGTAAATACATTTTTGAAAGTAGGTATTTGACCTAAATACATTGTATTTGTGTATATCCCACCTTTCCACTCTGATGGTACTGAAGATAGCCAACAGAAATAACATTTTATAAAAATCTAAAAAGTTAAAAGAAAAAAAAAGAGTCTTAAATTATCATCATAGCAAGCATTTAATTTATTAATTCAAAGTATGACAGATGAACTGTTTCTTCTTAGAGTTTTCCAAAGTCTGAGTTTGGGAAATTATTGCAACTTCTAAGGAATGTGTTTCCTAAGTAACACAGGAGAAGGAACTTCCCATTTGCCACACACACACAAAAAAGACCCTCCAAGGGCAGGAGCATGTTCCAAAGGGTCTCCTCTGGAGAACTTCCTGTCTGGATAAGTTCCTAAGACCAAGACCAACTCCTTAAAATGTGCCTGGTAAAACGAAATCTTACGGAAGCTTTGGAGTGTACTGGTGATAAAAGTACATCAAATACTGCCATCCTGAATTACAGTGTTGTCAGTTTTGTGACTTCAGGATGCTTAACATACTTGGGTCCAAATGTTGAAAGTAAATATGCTTTTGCTCCTCTGAAGGGAAACAAATGCTTAATAGAGCAGCACACAATTTTCAGTAGTGGAGTTTTGAAACATGTGGAGGCAGATGTAACTCATCTTTTTCTGGCTAATTAGAGCAGCTGTGAGTCTGGCAATAGACACAAGTGTTAGTTCTTCACAAAGAGGAACTTCAGTATACACTCCTGCACATTCCAAAGGAAAGATATGGATAGTTCTGATGGTTATTTTTCTTTCTGGTTCTCTTCTCCTTATAGAAATAGAAATGTTTGGTTTCTGAATAATTATACTTAGGTAATCATAATCTAGATGGGGCAGGGAAATTAAATAAAGTTTGAACCGAAAATAAGCCATGTAATGTCAGTCCTAGAACACTAAAACTTAGACAACAACAGGGGTGTCAAACTCAATGCATGCGGGGCCATCCTGGTCTACCCAGTGCAAAGAGGAAACATGCCAGCAGTTTGGGGAGTGGCTGCAAGCTGGCCACACCCACCCAGTTGGCCACACCCACCCAGTCGGCCACACCACTACCACCCCGGCCCCCTGAGTTCAACCACAGCCCTGATGCAGCCCTCAATGAAATTGAGTTTGACAACAACATGCAAAATCAAGATCAAGAAGAGTGTTTTCCTTGACTGGTGAATGATCATAGCCAGTCCTTGTGCAGCAGGTAACTAAGGGCACATAACTTTCAAATAATTTGGAATGCTGATATCTTTCCTTTGCAGCCAAAAACTGTGTGTTGTGGTTTCTCAAGCTTCTGAAGCATAACTACCCAGGTTGGGCATCCTCCTTCTTGAAGTTCATCCACCTGGGGAAGACTACTCCAAAGTATGCATACAGTCTGCCCCTTCCCTCACCTTGTGCTGATTTCATTGCTCATTTTGAATTTAGTGTATTGATACCCTGCATTATCTATGCTTTTAAAAGTTTTGATTTTATCGTGTTTTCAAAATGTTGTTAATTACAGTTAGGCAATACTCCTGGTATTTTGTAAAGGGAAATTAGAGCTCAAACTTAAAGAGATAATCAGTGTATTCCATGCCCCAAACTATAGTTTTGCTGTCTAAGTTAATGCTTTTTTCCTAAGATAGGAGTTGTAACCGTGCTGAATTACAGGGTTGTATTTTTGGTCGTTCATTCTCTGGATTTCTAAGCATAAAATGGTCTGCTATTTTAGATAACCTTTATAATGGATGTGAAGGAAATATGAAGGCACTCCATTAAAAAAATCAGATAGAACTACAGATTCAAGCAAATGTTGGCCAAGTTTTAAAAGTTCATAAACCTAAGATCAAAGAGTTTAATGACAGATTTGATTCCTTTGATCAGCATATGCGGTCAGTAGATCTGGGTGGATAGTCAAAAGCAGAAACAAATCTTGTTTTTCACTACTCTTTAACAACCCATCTTAAGGTTGCATTCAGGCCAAGGCCAGCCCAAGATAATTTGGCTCAGAAAAATCAAAATAAGACACACTTCCCACTAATTACCATGCAGAAGAATCCATTGCAGCCTCAAAAAAAAAAAAAAAAAAGGAAACTGCTCTGTTTTCATGTGAACAGGGGGAAAAAGGATATAATCTTTTTAGAGTAATAGGATCTTGGTATATCTACTAAGTGATAAGATGATGTAGTATGATTTTGACTATTCTGTTTTAGAATAATGATTGTTTTAAATCTGGAGTGTCAGGGAAGGAAATAGAATAGAACAGAACAGAACAGAACAGAACAGAGCAGAACAGAATAGAATATAATACATTGTTTCAACTCCTATCCTTCCTCAAAACGACGCTATAGAGCACTGCACACCGGAATAACTAGACACAAGAACAGTTTTTTCCCGAATGCCATCACTCTGCTAAACAAATAATTCCCTCAACACTGTCAAACTATTCACTAAGTCTCCATTACTATTACTATTAATCTTCTCATCGTTTCCATCACCCATCTCCTCCACTTATGACTGTATGTCTGTAATCTTGTTGCTGGTATCCTTACGATTTATATTTATATTGTTTCCTGATTGCTTATTTGTAACCTATGATTATCATTAAGTGTTGTACCTTATGATTCTTGATGAACATATCTTTTATTTTATGTACACTGAGAGCATATGCACCAAAGACAAATTCCTTGTGTGTCCAATCACACTTAGCCAATAAAATTCTATTCTATTCTATTCTATTCTATTCTATTCTATTCTATTCTATTCTATTCTATTCTATTCTATTCTATATCCTTCCCTGACACTACAGATTAGAATAGAATAGAATAGAATAGAATAGAATAGAATAGAATAGAATAGAATAGAATAGAATTCTTTATTGGCCAACTGTGATTGGACACACAAGGAATTTGTCTTTGGTGCATACGCTCTCAGTGTACATAAAAAGACAAGATGCATTTGTCAAGAATCATAAGGTACAATGATAGTCATAGGGTACAAATAAGCAATCAAATTATACTAGAAAACTATCAAT